GGCTGGATTAGCGAGGGCGGCAGAGCCACAGGGGAGCTGTTTTGGGAGGCATGTGATCGAGGATCAACCTCTACCAGAAACCGCCCTGAGAGCCCCGTGTGGAGGGCGCCCAGGGGAGGGGTCCGAGGCTCCTGATGAAATGCCCGCAGGGCCCGGCTGCCGCAGGCGGCTCTCTGACCAGCGGGGCCCCGTGTCCTCATCGGAGCTCTCGGCTGGGAGCAGCCACGCTCCGTGTCCGTGTCCGTGTCCGCTCGGCGTGGCTCGTGGACGTTCGCACGCATGCGCCGTGCGGGGGTGCCTGTCTGCGCTGCGAGGACCTGCTCGGTTGAGCTGCATTATGCAAAAGTGCATAATACAGAACGTTCATCATCTTTGCAAAAAAGAATGTTGGCGGAACATTCACGTGTCTGCTCGTTTTCACAGCACCCTGGGGTGGGGGGTGGGTGGGCGCTAAGCATTGTCCCCTGGGGGGGAGCAGGGACAGCCCTGTCCTCCTGCGTGCGAGTCTTGGCTGGCTGTGAGCTCTCCGTGTGCGTTCGCGGCTGATGCTAAGGACGGTAGCGGCTCCCTGCTGTGCACTTAACACGGAATTTCTGCGTGTTTAGCAGGAGGCCGAACCCAGCCCACCCCTGAGGCAACTGGAAGACCATAAAAGGGTACGTAGTCTCCAGCGTCGGGGCTCCCTCGGCCAAGCCCTGTGACTTAAAGACCTCGTTTCTGGTGGCTGCTGTTAAAACGTGACTCGGCCAGGACAGTCCCCGGCCACTTACCTGTCAGACTCACCTGTTCCCCCTGCTCCCTGCTGCTCCCAGCACTGAGCCCCTCCCGAGACGCCAGTGACCGTGTCAGCTGTCCAGGTCCCCTCTTCTTCCTCTGCTGGATTTCTACTTAGGTGCAGGTGTTAAAATGATTTTCTCTGTGGGTAACATGATCATTATGGGTAATTGATAATAAAGTATAAAGACAGAAATGTTCCTGATGGCGCCACCCCGCTGCGGAAGCGGCCTGCGATTGGCTGTTTTCTCCTTGCACAGGTGAGGGTGTCTCCCAGCTCACACAAGGTCACCTGTCACCTGTCACTGTTCATGCACAACTTTCGGTCCCTGGGTTTGTTCACATCAGAGTACCTTGGAGTGTGTTCTTTGAAAGTCAGCAGCGGCCTAAAGTCCCAAATTTCACGCGTGGTTTGTAATTTTCCCTTTCGACGGGAAATGAACGAGGGGGTGTGTCTGTGGATAGATTCCTGGGGGTGGAATCGCTAGGCCAGGGGGTAGACACTCCCTCCAGGTGTCGACTGCGCCCCTCTAGCCGATTTCTAGGAGGCTGGCTGTGCCCCCAGCATGCTGCCCACTCAGCTCCCGTTTTCAGGAGATACCCAGATGTCCCGGTTTTCTGAGCGCTCGCCGGCGACACAGCCTTCGTCCCCATGTCACAGATAAGGAAACCGAGACTTGAAGAGGTTGGGCAGTGAGCCCTTCCCTCCAGCATCCTGCGCGTCCTGCGGTTCAGGGACCCAGGACGCCCAGTGTTCAAGTATTTTCCGTCCTTGCCTGTCCTGGGTCTTGGAAGTAGCTGGTCTCTGGTGCCCCAGGTTCCCAGAACACGCAGCCTTGAGTGCCGCCCGAGCGCGTGAGCTGTGGCCTGAGAGCAGGTTTGGTCTCCCCTTGCCAAGCCCCCCCTGCGTGATTTGGGGCGAGCTCTTTCAGCGCCCTGGGTCTCACTTTCTTCCCCCGTAAAATGGGGGTGGTAGCCGTGTCCATCTCTCAGGACTGTCCGGGGACTGTGCCCACGAAGGGCCCAGCACAGCGGCGGGACCACGATAAGGGATGTTAACTAGCGTCAGCTATCGTCGCCTTGCAGACAGGCGTTCGGTTTCGTGGTAGGTGACAGGCGTAGGAAGAGGAGGGCGATTCTCAGCGGTGCCGACGGAGGTGTGGAAGCTCACGCGGACACCGGTCTTTCCCGAGGCCCAGGGTTTTACGTGGCTGGCACCTGGGAGCCAAAGGCCACTTTTGCCTCTTTGTGTGAGGCTGTACTAGCACCGCGGGGCCCGTTCCCCGCACAGCTCCTCGGCCGCCAGCTCCATTGACAGAAGCGAAACTCGCCTGAGCCCAGCTGCAGGCAGGGGCTCGGCCTCCTGGCTCCAGGTCACCGAGCTCACGGGACACTTGGTGCGAGGGCCCTCTCCCCTCCTCTGTCTCACGTAGTAATGTGCGGGGTTTCTTACCGGAGCCCCACTCCTGGTGCTCGTGTGCCCACCGAGGTGTAAACGGGGGAAACGCACCCTTGGGGGGGGGGCGTCAGCGGGGAGTCGGGTCCCTTCTCCCGCAGGTTCCCGGGAGGGCAGCGTCCTGCGGCTGAGCCGTGGGCACTGAGGCGGCTCAGGAGGCTCCCTCCGCGGGTTTCCGCTCCCCGAGTTCCTCCCCGGCCCAGGAAGGCGGCCTCCCCGGGAGCCTGTCCCTCGCGCAGCTTCTGATCGCGCGCCCACAGTCCTGTCGCCTTTCCCTAAACGTCTCGGTCTGTCCCTTTCAGGAAAGGAACACATCTCACTTCGCTCTTTTTAAAAAATCCCCACGTTCTGTTTTTTTCTGTTGTTGTTGCTGTTTATTTACTTGGTTGGTTGTGGAGAGAAGGTGAGATAAATACGTCCCAAGACCTTGTCATTAAGAGGGGAAAGTAAAAGTCTGTGGGGTGGGACGTGCACGTGGGGTTTCCCCCGTGAAGAGCACGGTTCATCGTATCCCCCCAGGGGGCTGAGCGGCCGTGGCCGTCAGTTGCTGTGGTAACCGCGAGGCTGCTCTGCGGAAGGAGAGGCGGCGAGCGCCGAGAGCCCCCTGTAGCTCGGGTCTGGTCCCCAGGCTGTGCGCATGGGAGGTCGCTGCTCCCGGAGTCGGGGTGTTCCCGAGGTCGCGTGTTCCTTCTCTCCCGCCTGCTTCCATTGGCAAAGTGACCCCGGTCTTGCCAGGGACCCTCGACACCTGCGGCTCCACCCCCTGGGGAGCTGTGGTGCTGAGGGCCTGGGGGGGGCCCCACAGGCTGTGTGTGGGGCCTGGCAGCCACCCTGCCTGTGACCGGTCAGCCCTGTGACCTTCCAGATCCTTGACACAAGGGCAGCCCAGCCCGCCCGCCCCCCGACGGGCCCTCCCGGGCCAGAGGGGTCCCGGTGCGGAGCCGGCGGCTCTGCTGCCCAGCTCCCTGTCGTGGGAGCGCAAAGTCAGTATCTTAGAAAGACCGTCGCCTAGAGGCGTCGCCAGGTGGGAAGCAGGAGGTGGCATTTAACCTCCTTAAGTTGGGGCCATCGCGGAGGTGACCTTTTTCTGCCTCAGTGGGCCGTCTTGGCCGTTCCTTTGAAATCTCTGTTGCTCTTACGACGCCATCCCCTTGAGTCCGCGTGCTCTCGGTGACGGGAGCGTGGACGGGTTCGTGCCGGTGCCAGAGGCCCGAGCACCAGCAAGCTTGATCGCTAGACCAACGTGTGATTTTCTGAGCCGTTCAGAAATATTGCACTAAAAGCAACTTATTTAAAAAGCACTTGAAAACCTCCCAGAGAACTCCCCCCTCGGAAGCACTCGGAGTTTTGAGCTTGCCGCCGGTCGGGGCAGGAAATGAGTTCCGTGAGCTGATGGGAGCCGTTTGTGGGCAGAGTGGAGATGAGTTTATTCCCTGAAACTTCATTTAAAAAGCAGTGTCTCTCCCCCCGCTTCTTTCTCTCCTGTGCTCCCGTCTGTTTGTCCCAGAGCCTGTGGCCAGCATTAGGCACCAACAAAGGAGAAAACCTGTGTGGCCCTGAGACCTTCCCCGGGCACCCCCGGCCTCCCCACCTCCCTCGGGCGCCCGTCCCCCTCCCGTCCGCTCCCTCCCGGCTCGTTTTGCAAACTCCCCGCTTGAAGCCTCCAGACCTATTCTCGGAGCTTGTTAGCAAATCCCTTTGAATTCTCCTGACTCACGTTGAAGCCGCAGGTCCCTCAGAGCCCCGGGTCTCTCTGAGACCTGCTGTGTGTCAGCACCTCTCCCTGCCAGACTTCTCGCCCGCCTCCCGCTGACGCACGAGCTCTGTCCTTGGGAGGGAGTCGGGCGCCGCGCACCCTCGGCTTTTAGAAGCTTGCAGGCCGGGAGGCGACCTGGGTCCCTCCGTGACTGCTGCTCGGCAGCGAGCGCCCCAGGAGTAGAGAAAACATCCAAGGTCTGTAAGGTCTGTTTTCCGGCGGGAGTTGGGCACGGTTACAATGGCCCCCGTCCAGAAGTCCTTCGATGTTCATCTTCTTAGCGCTTTTCATTCTGGAAACGTCCAAACGCATGCAAAAGGCGTCAGAAGAGATTCAAGAAGCCTCTTTCAAAACAGCTGCGCCCACCGTCAGCACTTGCCCGCTCTCGCCTCAGTCACACCCTCCCTGCCCCCTGCTCCGCCCCGATGGTGCCCGTGAGATGCCGTCTCTCCCGCGAGGCGGGCTTTCCCATTGACGTCGGACGCCCGCCACGCATTCATTTTCTGTAGCACAGTTTCCCCCCACCGCTTGGTCGTCGCCTGTTTCTGTGCGAAGGCTTCCTTTCCGCTCATCACTTCATCACACGCCCTTACTCGGATGTCGCCCTGTTTTCCCAGGGTCCTGGGAATAAACCCTGGGCTTCAGTGACGTGTTTAGATCACTCTGCGGAAGGGGAACCTGTACATTTTCAATTACCGGCTTACCCTGAAGGGACTTCTGGGTGGTTTTTGTTACTGTTAGTCGCCCTTCAGAGTTAATGTTCGGACTTGATCACTGTGGGAGAGAGTCCTCCGATGCTTAATATTCTAGACGCTCCCTTGTTTACAATCTGGTTTCCTGAGAGACTAGCGAAGGACTTCACCATAGAGTTTCCAGATGCTTCTATCAATCATTGGGTTTTTGCCCGAGTGAAACTGTGCCAGTCATGCCCGGTCCCCCTGTGCGTCTTGACTGTCGGTCGCTCGGTTATGCATGAAATTCAGAACCTGATGTCACTGTCCTGTTTGAATTAAGGGCGAGGCGCTCAGGCAGATTTTGGTCAACCGTTACTATGGAAACGTCAGACCGTCCGGAAGAAGAGAGAGCCTCACTAGCTTCGGCAACGGCCCGCTGTCGCCAGGAGGACCCAGCAAGCCCGGGGGCGGAGGTAGGCCGCGTGGCGCGGATGGGCTGCCCGTGGGAGCTGAGTGTGCCACGGCGGGTCACCCGACGGGCTGACGCCCTGGTCGATGACTTCGGGGTGCGAGTGTGTTTTTTAGCAACGTGTTTTGCCTCTGGCCTGTCATCAAATTGATGTCTCAAAACATTTGCCTGCAGTTAGACACTGGCTGAGCCTCGCAGCCCTCTTTCCCACGGAGGGACCCTCTCGGTGACGTTTGAATGACTCGGGGAACTTGGTTTTATTGCGTGTTTTCTTATGGCCATGCGGACGCAAGTTTCCCCTAAAAGGACAGTTTGCAATGAGGACGGCAAAGGTACCATTTCCCACATGGAGGCTTAGTGCCAAGGGCTCACCTGGCATTTTGCATCCTTTCCGTGGTTGTCTCCTTCAGGTGACCCTGTGTGGCAGGACTGTCGTCATCCCGTTGAACAGGGGAAAGGGAGGTGGTCAGTGACGGGCCTGTAGTTAGAACCCAATTTATCTAATTCTAACACCCGTCCATGTGCCTCCCCAAACTCTTATGGGAGTTTACCCCAAAAATCCCTACATGGAAATCTTCAACAGAGATCCTTAAAAGGGTTCCCATGCCAGGAGAGAAAGTGGCAGGGACCTGAACCCAGCCATGGGCGTTGGTTCTGGCTTTAAGGGGGCAAGGAGCTCAGTGCTCGAGCTCAGATGTGTCGCCCCAGCCCTTGTCCTGTGATGACTCCTGGCGGGCTCTCCGGGGAGCACAGAGACACTCGACTGCTCCCCCAGCAGCTTCTGGAGGGACCTTGGGCTTCCCAGCAGAGGTGACCTCGCAGCAGGTCTGCCCGGCTCAGGGAGCACGTAGCCCTTGTAGACGTGCCTCGGTCCAGGGCTCTTCCGTCCTCCCCAGACAGGCCCTTAGCTTTTCACCCCAAAGTTCCCAGCAGTTCTCAAGCACAGTTTCCTCACACCTCTCAAAACGATTTCCCGTTACCCTCTGTGGTGAGGTCTTTCAACAAATAGGGGAGGCCCTGGGGAGGCCCCCGAGGGAGTGGGCAGTGTGGCAGAGACAGACTCCGCCATCAGGAGATGCTGCAGGGAGACGCTCAGCCCACCGTGCCCTGGAGACCGTGGGTCTGGGTCAGGGGTGGGGAATTTTTTATTTTATTTTTTGCCAAGGGCCATTTGGATATTTATAACACCATTCGAGGGCCACACAAAATTACCAACTTAAAAATTAGCTATAAAAAAAGCTCCTAGATGTACTGAATTTCGAGTCCTGCCTGCGGTTGCCTTGGCAGGGCCAGACCAAACGATTTCACAGGCCGTACACGGCCTGCAGGCTGGACGTTCCCCACCCCTGGTCTGGATAGTCAAGGGCAGGAGGTGGCGGCATTGGAACCGGGCTCACAGGGAAGCACTGAGATGGTTTTCAGTCTTCTACCATCGATCGGCCCCGCTCCCCACATACAGTGTTCTTGCCAGTAACAGACAGACTTTCCAAACACAGCATCTGTTCCCTAAAGGGCGTAGCCTCTCTTCTTACATGTGTTCATCTCCCCTGAAGGTCCCCAAGAATGGGAACTTCGTTGGTTTTGTGCATGCCCCCTCCCCAGCTCCTGGTTCCACAGCGGGCACTCAGTAGATAGTTAATGAACGGATGGATGGATGGATGGATGGATGGATGGATGGATGGGTGGACGGGTGGACGGGTGGACGGGTGGACGGATGAATGAATGAATAAATGAACAGACAAATTTTGTGAGAGTGAGTTTGGGGCCAGGATNCGGGTGGACGGGTGGACGGGTGGACGGGTGGACGGATGAATAAATGAACAGACAAATTTTGTGAGAGTGAGTTTGGGGCCAGGATGAATTTGCCAGAAGGAGGGCTGAAGTGGTTAGGGGCTGTTTTTTCTTGGGAGTGTTCTAAGAAGTGTTTAAGTTTGGTTTGTCTCTTAAAGTCAAAGCAGCTAATAATTCAGCCCCAAGTCATTGTATGTTAACGTAAGGGAGAGTCCTGGCTGGAAAAGCACTGTTTTTCCGCCTTACCTGCCTGCGTTCAAATACCATCTCCGCAACTTACAAGTGGGTGTCCTCGGACCAGGGACTTCCTCCCTGTGCTGAGTCAGTACCTGGTTATTAGAACTGCTAAGAACGAAAAGAGACAAAACCTTTGAAATGTTGAGTGCGTGAAGCGTTGGTACAGAGCGACGTGTGACCACTGCCGGCCGCTGACTGTGGCTAATACGAACAACGCTCCGTCTCCCCAGGGGGAGGCTCCGGGTCCGGCTCCGTGAGCAGGGGCGAGATGAGCCTGGCTGAGGTGCAGTGCCACCTGGACAAGGAGGGCGCCTCCAACCTGGTCATCGACCTCATCATGAACGCGTCCAGCGACCGAGTGTTCCACGAGAGCATCCTCCTGGCCATCGCCCTCCTGGAAGGAGGCAACACCACCATACAGGTAGGGAGGCGGCGTGGCAGAGACGCGGCACGGCCGGGCCGGGGGCGTCTGCGCCCGCGAGGCGCCGAGACTCTCGCGTGGGCAACGGCTCGTTCTTAGAGCACGACGTTCCCTTGTCCTGAAAAGTGAACTGTTGATACCTTGCGGCGGTCGTTCAGTCAGAATTCAGACTTGGCTCTAAAGCATGAGTTACGTTTACAAATGGATGAAATGCTGAGAGTGTGCAAAGGACATCGGCCCGGGACCCGGGCATGGCCGGTGCTCAGGGAGCGCCCGGGTAAAGCAGAGGCGGGGTGGTTTTATCCGCGATCGTAGAAGGTCCCCGCCAAGGTGACCCAGAGGAGCTCGGACGGCGCACGCTGCGTGGGTTTCCTTTCTGTACCTGTCGGCACGGCGGCTACTCCGCCTGTGCGTTCCTCTGCCCTCCACCTGAGACGCCCGCGAAAAGCAAACCGCCCGCTTTGGACAAATAGGAAAAAGCCGGGCTGGTTCATCGGAGACGAGGGGATGGTCTTGTGTTCGCCGGGCACGGTACATATTTAAAAAATAGTAAAAACTGGAATTCTTAGTAGAAGTCCTTAAAGGAGCAGTTTTGGTGAATTTTAATAACGTAGAGATGAGATCATTTTTATATAAAAGTGGTAATTAAAATTATTCCCGTAAGTGTCTTCCTGCCCCCCCCTCGAGCCTCTCCTGCCTTCGCTGGCTCTGGAGAAGCGCTCGCTTGGCTGCGTGTGCCCACAGACACGCGCTGTGCCCACAGCCACAGACACGCTGTGCCCACAGCCACACGCTGTGCCCACAGCCTTACTGAGGTCGCCTGCGTACCACGCAGCTCACCCTTAGTGTATGTGTGAGTGGACATGATATTCTCGGTCCTGAGTTTAAATTTGGTGAGCAGAGCGGCCGAGGGGTGGGAGGGACGGGAGGTGGCCTGGGGTTTGTATGTGGGGCAGGGCAGCCCTCCGGGGGCCTCGGGCTGTAAGGTAAGGACTGAAAGTCAGTCCGTGTAGGGCAGGTCCGTGGAGGAAAGCAGGCTCCAGAAGGAGAGGTCAGTTGTTAAGTAGTTGACAACAATCCAGAGGCGGACTAGTGAGAGAGAGAGAGCCTGGCCTCCGGCCAGATCCACGAGGGAATCCGCCGTCGCTTGGGTGTTTGCGGAGGGGCACAGGGAGCCTTTGGGCGCAGGCGGCAGTCTGCATCTTGGTCGGTACGTGCCTGTTTCAGACTCGGGGAGACGTGTGGTTAACCCTGGTGTGCTTTACTGCACCCACATTATACCTCAGTGGAAAAAAATGGGGGCGCAGAAGAGCCCGGAACCCAGTGGGGTCGGGGTGAGGGGCAGGATCTCCTGGTGAAGGCCCCAGCGCTCCCTGCTCGAGGCCGGGCCTGGGCCACCGGTGGGCAGGAAGGGCGGGGGGATGGCGCCCGGTCGGATGCCCGGGGCGGGGACGAGGCGGCCCGAGGGCCTGTGGGCGCTCGAGGCCTCGAGCCCGACGAGCCTCCGCGTGAAGACGCCGCGGGTTAACCAGGAAGCGCGGAGAGGGCGGCGGGGGCGGGCTGGCGAGGCGCCGCGGTTCTCACCGTGTACCCTGCTGCTGACGGCAGGCTCGCAGAAGCTGTTTTTCCTTCCAGTTCTTTATCTTGTAAAGTAATTATGAATATTAGTTTCATGTTTTCACACATTTATTACTCATATGCTCAGGCTCCAGATGAAATGCCACGGCGGAGCTCCAGCCTCCGGGGGGGAGCTGCCTCCTCTCCAGGGAGCCGTGCGCTCATCAGTGGGTGGGCCCGGCTGGGGGGCCTGTGCACCCTGCCCGG